GTACGATACAGAAAGCCACAATACATTTTAATATAATTATATAATTATATGCACAGCCCTGTGTGTGTGTGTGTGTGTGTGTGTGTGTGTGTGTGTGTGTGTGTGTGTGTGTGTGTGTGTGTGTGTGTGTGCGTGTGTGTGATCGAGAGTGAGTGTGCGCATACGCATGTGCATGTGCGAGCTTCTACGTGCATGCGTGGTGCTCATGAATAACTCGTTGCTCGTTGCACATAATGCTCATGTTTTGACGCTATAATAGAAATTCATGGAAAGTTATATCTAAGTGTATAAAACATAGATATTTCGTTTAAATAAATACTATATATTATATTATAGTTCCTTGCCTCTGTTTGAAGTCGCCATAGACCAGCCTGTTGGGGAATCCCTTGCGGCAAATACGAATTCCTTCTAGCACACCGTTGCAGGTCAGTTGGTTTATTACTAGTTCAGCATCCAATGCACCTCCCTCCTTGTTTTCGTTAGGGATGAGGCAGCGCACAAAGTGGGGTTGAGTGCTCTCAAGAGTGTGCATCAGTCTGCCAAGTTGCTCCTATTGAGTGACAAATTTAGTACGTAAATATCAATCAAAAGAGGCAGTTTCATTCATGTAGCGAGCCTTTTCATATTTTCATAAACTATTACAAAAAACATGAACGTTTAAAAGACATGGTACTAGTCTCACAGCATCGTTGATTTTAATAAAAATTCAGCTGGTGTTCTTACTCTGTATACAGCAGATACGGTCTGGAAGGCAGACCCCTTCTTCCTCTTGCCCTTGCCTCCTGCTGACTCCTCTTTCTCGGCTGCTAGTTTGTCAGCAAAGAGCGTGCCCATGAGGGGGTTTCCGTGAGACTTGGCCAGAAGCACAGCCACCGTGTCGTTGATGGGATCCTTATTCTTTTCCAGCCACGCGGTGATGTTATAGTTGACGATGCCAGCATAATGGCAGATACCGAAGTGAGCTTCTGCTTGATTCTTCTTTGGTGGTTTTGGCTTTATGAAGGCTTTAGACTTGCCCAGGTGGTTTTGCACGAGCTTGTCCTTGAATGTGGTATCCGTGGCCTTGGGGAACATAGATTCCTCCTCAAGGATGGCGAGAATACCCATGGGCTGTAAATAATTGTATTTGAGTTTTCACACAAAGAGATTACTCATGCACGAAATTACTCACTACTGATTTATAGATGATATCACGAATACGTTAACATTCAGGGTCCCAAATTCCTGATTGTTTTTTTTCGCGAAAATGTCTCAATCTCTTAACCTCGCATCTAAGAACTACTGTATCATGAAATTACCTTTTCAATCATGTCAATGCAAGCTTGCAGATCCAGTCCGAAATCAATGAAGGTCCATTCGATTCCCTCGCGTTTATACTCTTCCTGCTCCAGGATGAACATGTGATGGTTAAAGAACTGCTGTAGCTTCTCGTTGGTGAAATTAATGCAGATCTGTTCAAATCCGTTAGAATCAAAGATCTCAAATCCAGCAATATCCAGTACTCCAATAAAGAAAGACTTCTTGTGAGGAGTAGCAAGGGTCTCGTTGACTTTGACGACGAGCCACTTGAACATTCTATCGAACATGGCCTTTGCTAGGGCAGACACTCCGTAGTAGCATTGCTCCTTGTTCTGGCCCTTGGTGACGTATTCAGTGCCGACCTTGACACGCGGTTTTAGAATTCCCTTGTACAGGTCAGCATCTGATACGCCCAGCAGATGGGCAACCCGACCTCCAACTTCCATGCCATCGGCCTCAGCCTGTTCTTCTCGTGGTCTCTGCTTGAACTGCATGGCTCCCATGTGCATGACAGCAGCGACAATCTTGTAGATATTAGTTTTCTCAGGTCCCGTAAACAATAGCACATCGAATGCAGCCTGCAGTAACAAAACACACAGGATCGCGTTACATCGTTGACATTGATTTCTCTATGTACATCATAATAAACATGCTACACACTGTTTCAAATAGATTTAGCAAATACAAGTACGAGGTTATCAAATGTGATTTGACATTAATGGCGTTCATTTACACGATTTAACTTAAGCGAATTCGCATTTTGTGTCTTACATCAGTGTCTTTCATTTCCTGGCCATCATCAACACCATCGATATAGGTCCTTCCCTGAGAGACGAATGGATAGCTGTCGATAGGGTCTTTGAGCAACAGCATATCTGGAACAATTCACATCAATAAGAGTTTTATGGAACACGTTTTACATATAGTCGCCTAATGATAATGTGTAGGATCTGTAAAGTACGAATATGTGTTGTATGGACTCTTCCCCTACGCACCACTCATTCCATCAATAGCACCAGAGATGACTTGGTAAAAGATGTGGTAGCTGCGCTCAATTGGCTGCTGGGAAACGACACGCGATTTCTCGAGCAGATCTGAAAATGGAGGCATTGATTAATTATTGAATACTGATGCGATTTCCACATTTAAATGTCACCTTTTAATTGGATTTATCTTGCCATGAGGTACACAAACGAGCCCCCACCCCCACCCACACACCACCGCGCACACACACTCACACATACGTTGCACTTATATATAGTAAGAATGCTCACATGACTCGACGTCAGCTCCTGCCAATTTTCCAGATGGGCCGAAATGAATCCTGATGAATTTACCCTGTGTGAGTACAAAGATGGAAAATAATTATTGCTTGGTCAATGATTAATTCATACATAATGCAATATCAAAAATGCATAATCAGCGAAAGTGAAACTAAATGAAATATCTATATAGGCCTACTTACGAAACGAGAGGAGTTATCGTTTCTGACGGTCTTTGCGTTACCGAAACTCTCAAGGACAGGGTTAGCTGACACGATCTGATCTTCCAGGTTAGCCTTCTTCTTCTCGCCTTCAGCTGGCTTAACGCCCGAGGCAGCAACCATAGCGAAGTAGGAAATGACCTTCTTCGTGTTTTCTGTCTTTCCGGCACCAGACTCACCGCTGTGGGAATAGCTCAGCTGTTTAATCAGATTCTGCATCTACTAATTTCAGAGCTGGAAATTTAACCTTACATCGTAGTTGGCATGATCATAGAATTGGCGATGTTTAGACATTCTATGAATTTGTTACACCCAAGTTTACTCCTAATATTATGTCGTTATATACTTTTCGAACTTACGTGATCAACATAGACTGGTCTTCCCTATCTGGAATAAGCAGATCACATTATAGTATATGTATCAATTTCAAAGCAATTAAATTTTTTTGAGGTAGGGAAAGTTTAACATATAGACATGATAACATTAGAAAACACTTTACTGATTAAGCATTTTCTATACTAAAATTCTTTGTGCGCACTGAGAATTACACTTTTGTACGGGAACATCGATGACCATTCGTAATGAACCCAACCATTAGTTCCCTCGAATATGCCGACGGACAAAGGAAAACGAGGTTGGTTTTGAATAAGTCGAATGTTTCTGCGTCCGTATTGCGCGAATATATACGTACTGGCAAGCATGGCAGCATAAGCATTGTCCGACACCGAGAACAGATGAGGTGGCACCTCATTCTTGCGCCTGCCACGGTATTCATTGACAACCTCTGGGTTGTAGATAGGAAGCCTCTTGTAGGGGTTGACCACAACGCAGAACAGTCCAGAGTAAGTCTGTATATATGGTTATGGACAAAAACATGATGAGAGTTTATGCATAGTTTGCGTATTACCTAGAATTATGTGTCTTTCTATAATAATATGGCAAATTATTAACTTAACAAAACCTGTTTATAAAATTGGCCGTGTGTTAGTGATGACACAATTGCTTATTTTGCCTCTCGTCATCAAGTGAGCATCAGTTTGCGTGAAATCTTATTTTCGACATACCCCCCCCCCCACCCAAAACAAATAATGATTTCGCTTGCGATAATGTATATGTGTTTTTATTACCAATAATATATAAATCAAGAGCACATAAACCCATAAACATTGATTGTGTAATCCGGGTTGTATCACATATCTGATGTCCTAATTTGAAATTAACTTTCGACGGAACATAAAGCGCTTACGTAAATCATCCAGGCGCGATATCTCTGTCTCAGGTTATGAAGAACGGAAGCGTCGTTCAGGTATGTCAGGTTAGACATGTCATCGCACTTCTCGTACTGCGGAGGGTTCATCTGCTGAACGTGCTCAGTCTTCATAGTCATCTCCTGCAGAAAAAAAAGAGTTAGGGAGTAACATGTGCGTGCGATTGGAAGAGTGACGGTTAGAAAGAGGCCGAAGAGTGAGAAAGATAGAGAACTAGATAATGAAAAAACGAGAGACAGAGATAATAAAATTAAAAACGTAGAAAGCGGGATAGGGAGGCAGAGAAAGAAAGAAAGAGCGAGAGAGAAATAAAGAAAGGAAGAGAGAAGGGGCGAGAGGGGATAGAGATGTATATGTGCATGCGTAGTGTTGTGTGTGTGTGTGTGTGTGTGTGTGTGTGTGTGTTGTTGTGTGTGTGTGTGTGTGTGTGTGTGTGTGTGTGTGTGTGTGTGTGTGTGTGTGTGTTGTGTGTGTGTGTGTGTGTGTGTGTGTGTGTGTGTGTGTGTGTGTGTGTGTGT